GATACATTTGTTAGATAATGTGGATGCTATATTAGCTTCCACAATTTCTTAAGGTGGATAAGGGCGTGTCAGAATAGAACCATAGACTGACTGGTGAGGAGAATTTATGAATGGAATGGGCAATTCAAGCAATTTTATGCAGTCATTTAAACACTCAGCCTTGGAAGTCTTTGCACATTGAGACATAACATCTAGAATTGACAAGTTGATCGTCGGAAATGCCGCCTTAAATGCTCCTAGATCTCATTCCATGATGTAGTGAAACCTTGAAAGATGATGAGACAATCATACGCCATTTATGAGTCATGTGATATGTCATCGGGTATTTTCCAGTTTAGGTTAGCTTATTAGTTTTATCTCCGAGTCGAGCTTCCATTCCATTGTCTCAAGCCACCGGGCAGGATCAATACACCGAACATATTCGCTTTCCAAAACGGGAAGCTCTGTCATTGTAATTCAGAGATAAATCATGCTTCATTAATTGATATTACGCGTCTGTCGTGCATCTACCGATTATTTTCACGGATTATCTTGGCCCGAGGAATCTCTTTTCCGGCATTCTGATCACGTGTGACTTTCGTGCGATTGTCTTTGCGTGGAAACGCGGTGCAGGTGTGTCTCGCAGAATAGTAGGCTTAGAGAACTGATATAGCAAGTGCTGGGATATCTGGATTGAAAGTATGGACCAGAGAGCCACGATGGCGCAAAGCAATGGCGTTGGAGAGACGAATCTTGCGAGAGGCACACCGCCCGGTGCTTCAGGTCCATCGGGCGCCTCGAGAATGGCAGACCCCCCTGGAATACTGAGGAATCCAGAGGCAAGAAATTGGAATACGGATATTCCGAATTATTTGCCTCATGAAAAGGTTTTCCCAATTCAAATCGGGACGGAACTTTTTCGGTTGAGTGGTGCTAGTCTGAGTTCTGATGGTATGTATTCTTCCTTCTTCGCATTTCCTTGTCGAAAATAAGATTCTGGAAGGACAGAAAATTTCAAATTGAGTGCACCAGCTAAGAAACCTAGAGCACCCTCATACTTTTCCCAATATTTTCAATGTCAATTGAGGCAAGCGGAAGAGAAAGGAGAAGATCCAAATACAGCTATCAGGACCCTTTACATCGACCGAGATCCTATCACGTTTAGGGATATATCACTTCATTTGCAAGGATATCATGTCGCACCAAGGGATGCAAGTCACTTTGTTAAGTTATTTGCCGATGCTCAATTCTATTCATGTTTGTCTTTCCCTTTCCATTACTTGGTGATCTGTGTTAACAGCAGACAGTACCAAGGCTGATCTCTCAGCTATATGAAGAAAATATCTTCATAACAGTTGGAGATCGAGAATTCCAGATTCCTCGCGAGCTATTCTCTGATCCTGGAAACAGTCCAAACTACTTCTCCCTGAGTTTTACCATCTTCTTTAGCTCCCCTACTGAGGTATTTCCCGGCCTAAGTAGGGAAGGTCTTCTTCGACCACCATCTATCCTCCCCCCATCAGTACCCAACCGCTCTTCAAAGACATTTTCCGAAATTCTTCATCTTCTCCGTGGTTACCCACTTGAAATCCGCAGTCCAGAACATCGCGCTGAACTCTTACGAGATTGTCGATATTTCCATCTTAAAGGTCTTGAACAAAAATTGATTCCTCATTCTATTTCTTATAATCTACTACGCAAAAAATCAGAAATCACAATTCGACTCGCGGATATCAGACAATCTGGCCTCTCTATCCTAACAAATATCTCCCCATCTACCGCACCCTCTCCCGAGCCTCTCACCTCTCCAAACCCACCCCCAACATCATCTGTAGGTTACGTACACTATCAACGCCCCTTTGCTGATTCATCGCCCTCCGATCTTATTCTCGAGATAGGCGATTCGGCTACACTGCTTCACTGGGATACTATGCGCTTGGAGTTTTTCGGAGAAACGAAAATACGGATGGGTAGATTGTTGGAGGTTGTGGCTACGAAACTCAATTTGCCAGTCAAGCAACCCTTGGGATTATTGATGAAAAATGGTGGCGCGAGCAGCGAGCCAGCTAGTCCGGGCAAGAGTGGATTGAGTGAGGAGATGGTTAGGGTAGTTGTTGGAGAAGACTGTGGGGTGGTGTGTGATGGGAAGGTGGTTGATTTGAATGGAGCTACAGACGAGAATTCTAGTATTGGTGGTCAAGGAAGTAGCAAAAAGAGGAGAATAGGAGATGGGATTGCGCTTGCGGCAAATATAGATGTAGGCCCTGGATTAATCAAAGATAAAAGCTGGATTGTGAAATCGGGGCAGTGGAGGCTGAGGGTTCAGAATCATGGGGGTGGTGTGCAAGGAGCGAGGATGGGAGTGGGAATGGGGGGACAGGCTTTGGTCAATGGGAAGGCGGAGTGGGAATGTGTGTTGGTAGCTGTGAGATTGGATGCTGTTAGTGGGGAAAGGGGGAGGAACCTGAGTAGAGGGTTTCTGGGTGAGTGAAGCGTATGGTGGGGTGTAATTCAGAGAGTGGAGGGAATAGGAAGAATGGAGAGAGAAGAGATCTCGAAATTTAGGCATGGTAATTTCTGGTTGGGGATTGCTGTACAGAAAGAATCAAGGAAAAATCAAGATGGCTTGTGAATTATTTTTTACAGTGCTGTGAGAGTAAATGCGGTGTAGTTGTGGTATCATCTTCGTTTTCTTCACCGTCCTCGAGGATGAATGGATGTTTGATTTGACTTTACGCAATGCATCGCCAGATGTGAGTATAGAAGTATGGTTCGAGTCTTTTCAAAAGGATATGTGGATATGTGGATTGAATCTCCCTCGCGACAGGGGAGACTTCGTGTTTTGGCTGGAACACGGGTATTCGAGGTTTGTAACTTAATGAGTCTGTTGGCTCGGTTGTGTGTTAGTGGTATTTTCTCGCTAGAGGAAGTTCTGGGGTGGCTTTTGTATACCGGATGGAAGTTTGGAATAGGGAGTTCTTCGCCCAGGGAGATTGGGAATGTAAATAGATAATGGGATGAAGTTGGAGTGGTGAGTTTGAAGTGACGGGGTTTGAGGGTTGGTGTTGGTATTGGTATTGTAGTGACGAGAGATGGAATGATGAGAAATGTAGTGATGGGGGACGGATGTGAACAGGTGGTATGCAAGTTGAGAGATTTGGAATAGGGATGGATCATGGGGCGAAGTTGGTATTGGGGATGTAGTGATGGGAGTTGGATATACGTGGGAGGGAATATAAGCTGAGAGCTGGGAATCTAGGAGTCAGGTCAAATAGGTCAAGAAGGACGGTGATCAGTCTAGGGCGAGTATTGAAGTTTACAGTGTGTGCGAGGGTGATGGTATCAAAAGATTTCTGATGTTTGGGATATTGACTGGGTATTTTGGTGGATTCTGTAGGACGCTACATGTCAAATGTATGGGATAGGTACGGGTGAAGGGGAACCGAGCTTTTTGGCGAACATCGCAATGAGCTGAAGAATAGAATGACTGGGTTCAAGAATTTACAGAATGACTCTCCCGTGAATTATTTAACCAGGAATGGAAGTGAATGCGTGAATCCCAGTTCTTTGATGGTGGCTATTGGGGCTGTAACTTGCGGTGTGAGAAGACTCAATAGTAATGCTGACAGCGAGTATGAGAGTTGAAATTTGTCGCTTGAGAATTATGTCGGACCAAGTTACTACGCGGATCTTGTGTTACGGGAGGTTGGATCTTCACATGTTGCCGAAATGATGGATTATATATTGATCAAGGAACCCCCGGGATTATGGACTCTATTTTCTTTTTCTCTCTTTCTTTTGCGACCGGAACCATTGAAGCGTTTTGTTATACAATATGTGGCAAGTAAAGATAAATCAGTCTGTTGCAACATAGAAGTTGTTCTTTATATCATTCTCATGTCTTTGGGCAATTAAGCATTTGCTTTGCGAGATGGCAAATAAGATCCTAATTAACGTCAATAACCAACTTACCGGTACGGAATGCCAGTTGACTATTGCTCGGAATATCGTTATCTTAGGGCAATCAAAACTTGTAGACGTCAACCAACAACCACTGAAACTTTGGAAGGAGAGCTACCTCCGCAATCGAGATTGAATTTAAGATCTCATTGTTGGAGGCCAGCTCCTTCCTTCCGTGTACTAGTAGATGATGGGGTCTAGTTTTAACCCACGAATAGCTCGGTGCTCAGATAACACTCGTATACAAGAGGGATAAAAGCAAGTAACGAGAACAAACGAGAGAACAACTTGGAAGCATTCGCCCGAGCGCTGGAAAATGGATTACAGTTGTTGCTAGACTGGGACGGACTTGATTTTCTTGGCGCACGGGTGTTGGGTAAAACACGAGATCGCATTTATTCTCTACTCCTGTAAAGTAAAATCGATAGAAACCCAATAGATGGGTATTTTTAAAAATAATGACGGCATGCTTCGAAATCCATTGGCGGGTTACACAAAGATTGGCAGCGACGGCAGTACAAAAGACATCGAGAAGCAATCAAGGTTTCTGACACCCGCACGCGCACTTAGAAAAAGTAACCAAGGTCACAGGTGTCTGATGTGCAAGCGGGACACGTGACTAGCGTTGGAGCACTTCATCCAATCACATCCAATACCATCCATCTGGACCAAAGAACGAAATATGCCATTCATTTTACTTAGACCAGTCATGCAGATAAGACTACTGCACGCCCAGCCACTATGATAGGTAGTCTCGGCAATAGCACACATGGGAACTTGGAAGCTGCAACACGATGCACCATAATACCGCCATTACTCGTAGATGCCGAACATGATGGTTCCTCTGCCTAGATTTGGGTAGTCTCTGACGTCCCTCTAAAATGTAGACAGTAGTCAAATTCTAAATACAGGTAAACATCATCCTTACTGTCGTGCTCATTCTCTTATAAGATGGCCTTTCCTTTTCCTGACTTGTGATCCGTCTATTGTTCTCTCCTCTCATCCCTCTCCGTTTGTATCAACATCTCTCACCCCTTCTTTCTTTCCTTCTGGCTTTCAATATGAAGCTCTCAATATTGTCGATCTCTGCCATTGCAGTGTCTGCAAATGCTTCCGCTCTTTTGGAGAGCCGTCAATCGAATTGGACCGTCGGACAAACTGTTCAGACAAGCAGTGGACCAGTCGATGGGCATCCTAGTCTAAACAACTCGCAAGTTTCCGAGTACCTAGGTATTCCATTTGCCAAACCACCTGTCGGGGACTTGAGATTTGCTGCACCAGTTGCATACAATGGTACTACGACTATCAATGGTACTAACTTTGTAAGTAAAACCACCTGAAGACATTCGGCAATTGCTAATACAAAGATAGGGCTACACATGTCCCGCACAAACTACCACTTACAATGCTACCGTCATCGCACAATCAGATGTTACTTCAACAGGATTGGGAATATTGAGTCTACTTGGAGGCTTGACCGCACAAAGCGAGGATTGCTTGACCTTGAACGTGTGGACGAAACCACAAACCGGCGATTCGAAGAAGGCCGTATTAATGTGGATTTATGGAGGCGCGTTCAGTAGTGGAGCTTCTGCCACCCCCGCATACATCGGACAATACATTGTGGAACAAGAAGACGTAATTGTGGTAACCTTCAAGTAAGTCCTAAGCTTCTTGGGCTCTTGAATTATACTGATTGTGAATTAGTTACCGACTAAATATTTTTGGGTTTTCTGGAAGCCCCGATAGTCCTGCCAATGTCGGACTCCTAGATCAGAGATTGGCCGTCGAGTGGGTTCGTGATAACATTGAGAATTTTGGTGGCGATGCATCCCGTATAACTCTGTTTGGACAAAGTGCCGGTTCAGCATCGGTCGATCTCTACAACTATGCTTGGGTGCAAGACCCCATTGTTGCTGGTTTCATCCAAGAGTCTGGCACAGCACAGAGTTGGGGTATGCCAAGTACAGCTGAATATGTCGCCACAGCCTGGTATAATGTGAGCGAAGCTTTGGGATGTGGCGGCGCATCCGCTAGTAACGTTACTAGTTGTATGCGTACGAAAAACACAACGGAAATACTCAGCGGGATATCGGTCACCACCGATTCCCCTGGATCTTTTGGTATATTAGGAAGCTTTTTGCCTACCGTCGACGAGATTGTCGTATTCTCCAACTACACTGAACGCTCCTTAGCCGGCAACTTCACAAGTAAGCCCCTATTGATTGGAAGCAATGATGATGAAGCCGTTCTATTCGTCACCGCAAATGCGCTTCAAGGAGTCAGTACTTCCGATGCAGCTGCGCAAGTTATCAATCTAATTGGGTTCACTTGCCCAAGTGGTTATCGCGCAAATTACTCAACTCAAGCCAATGTCAACACCTGGCGTTATCGCTACTTTGGCTCCTTTCCCAATACGATGATTGTTCCTAATGCTGGTGCATGGCATGCCGCCGAAATCCCCCTTCTTTTTGATACAAACCTTGCCAACCCACCTGAGACAACCGAACAGATAGCAATCGGAAAATACATGCGTGGCGCATGGGCTGCGTTCGCCAAGAATCCTGAAAATGGCTTGACTACCTACGGATGGCCAAAATACGACGCTGCAGAGGATACGCTCATTAGATTGGCATACAATAATCAGACTGGCACAAACGCTGCAAACCCATCGTTATACGATGCGAATTGTCCTACAACACCCGTTTTTAGCATGAGTATGGATAACGCAACGTCAACTTCGACAGGGACTTCGACAAGCAGCTCGAGCTTAGGCTCCGCACCCTCAACTGTAACAACTTCCGATGGAATAAGTTTGGAATCTGGGGTTTTGGGCCTGGTATTGGCAGTGATAATAGGATCGCATTTCTTATTGTAAGTTCCACCGAAGGCGTTAATGTTGTAATCTTCATGCTAACTCTACGTAGGAAGGAGATAAGAGCAAGTTTAATCTTTCTTTAAATCACGCTTGGATTGTATGGCAAGTGTGCACATGAAATTGGGTTTCCACAGTCCATCATGATGTAAAAGACATGCATCACATCGCATATCAACTACCTTCGGATTTCCATCCGTTTGATCCATCTCGCAAAACAAGAGCATGCTTAAGAAAATTTAAAAAGTCAGGCATAAACAAAACACAGAATCCCGATATTAACCAAAGTTACTCCGCACTCTTACCTTATGATCTAAATGCTTAGGAGTGGACCTGAGCCTATGTTATAGGTTGATAGGGGTTAGAAGTTGGATAGACTAAAAGATCGTACGCTACTCTTGGTGCAAGATGCTCTGCGATGCTCGAGGTCAGAGTCGAATCGACGGCGAGCTCTTATACTGCTGTGGCTGCGAGGTATTTCGAATGCGCTTTGGGCACGCATGGGTTGACTGTGAGCTTTTCCACTATCATTGCTGCGAGCGTCTTTGGACTGTCCCTCTTTGAGCGCGGATTTGTGAGAATTATGACTACTGTGAAGGCTGCTGGGCTGTGAACGCCGTTCTCCGAGGTATGTTGAGGGGCATTTGTCTGCGGATACGGAGGTTGGCGTCGAAGGGGGGTTGGAAGCCTGGTAGTTAGCTGGGCCGTACGCCGGGTGGTTTTCCGGATCTCTATTTAAGGCGTAGGCCGACTCGTAAGCTTGGCCAGAATCGATTTTCGATTGTTGTTCCGATATAAATGCTCCAAATCTATCCTCTTGTCTCACCATGGTCTCCTTGTTCTTCGTCATGTGTTCGCCTAGCGCTCTCTCCAATTTGTTTATGTGTGAAAACTCGTTTTCGGCAATATTGTAAATTCGCAATTCATCGTAGTATTGGCCGTCAAATCTCGTTCTGGCTTGTCTGATTACTTCCATTGCTTCCGCTCTTCCCCGCGGGGTTCTGTTCTCTTCTCCTGCCATTATCCAGTGTTGACGCAGCATAGCCGTGATGTACAATATGCGCGAAGCACCCTTATCTAACTCTTCCCCGTACTCTTTGTTGCATGCTGAGCACCAAGTAGAGAGTACCGCCCAACTAACCTCCCCATCTTTATTCCATTCTCGTTCCTCGGAATGAAAGCTGGAACTCTTGTTGGTGTCATATCTACTGAGTTCAGTTGGCGTCTTGGCCACATCCCTGTCTTTGGAGTGCATGCATAGGGGTAAGATGGGCAAGTCTGGATCGAGACCGTGATTGAAGCGAGTGGCGATGATGGCTTCAGCGGGGTCTGGGAGTACCGCGTTATGTAGGCAGTCACCCTCGAAGCGGTTGAGGTTTATGTCTATTGAGCTCTTGCTAGAGGATATCGACGTGATGAACACTGAGTTTGTACGTGAGGATCAAAGGCTATTGTGTTGGAAAGGGTATGAGGATTTCTATTGTTAGGTTTCTGTACATGTTGAGAGAGCTTGTCAAGAAGGTAGGGAAGGAGAAAAAATCAGAGTACTCAAGGGCAAATCAAATTGTTTTGTTCACAAGGAAACTTTCAGTGAGGAGTCATTTGCTATTCGTCGTGACGCATTCCGTTAATGCGTGTCGAATAATCCATTTTGTTTAGAACGAATTCTCCAATGAGGAGCCATTTGCTCTTAGTCGCGAGCCAACTTCCTCAAGTCCTGTCATTGCATGGATTTTGAATACTGAGGGAGCCATTGAAACAAAATCGCTCTTTGTGAATCTGAGAGAGATGTCGTCGGCTGGCGCATCGAGTGGGTATCCCCAAAATAGGAGTTGAAGTTAGAGAAAAGAGTGAATTGAGACAATCGGTAAACAGAATTTGGATGGAAAGCGAAAATCTTTGGGTAATGTATTTGAATGTTCAAAATTGCATCGGTCCAAGGAAACTTCGATGTTCAAGCCAGATTGCAGAATTGGGGAGTGACGATCTAAGGGTTAGGGTAGGATTAGGAGGAGGAGCACGTGTTAAAGTGGGTAGTGATCACTTCCTCGCTCTAGGAGAGACTACTTTCTATAGCTCGATTCTTAGCTTCCTGTGTAATTTTTTCATATTTAAGGAAAGGTTGACCTCTCTCATTTCTTGATTCAAGAGGATACAGAATATTACTTCCATACCATTGTATTAATTATAACTTTTGTGATCTATTGTCTGTTTGATCGACAACATCGAGGAACGCATATCCAATTCACCTATACTTCTTCCCTTATAGATAGCCCCACCAGAAAGATTATCAATTATAGACCACTCGACCTATTTTTAAATCTATTCAATATATCATTCCGTAAATACAACTCGTCAATATCTCACAACACCAGCTTGATAAGTACGCCTCGAAACGAAGACATTGTTCGACGACCGACTATCTTCTCTTGTTTTGCTCAACCGCCCGTTGATGAATTTTAATTTTGAGATGCAAAATTCTATAGAGAGCGTGCTGGAATTGGCGTTACACAAATCCTCACGAGATACTTCATTCGATTTTGGATCGCAGCCAGGAGAACCAAGATTCAATGCCAGTTCGGATCTTGGAGAAAGTGGTGGAGAGCAAGCAGGCGCTGGGGATGATTCTTTTCCGTCCTTGGATGAACTACGAGAAAACATTGTGAGCACACTAGATGCTTCTATCGTAAAATTTAGCGATTTATTATCGCGCCGGGGGATTGTCCAACAGCCAAGACTTTTCAAACTTTCAGATGAATTACTGGGGTTGATTTTAGGCTTTCTTGCAGAGCCACAGCTCTGCGAGCCTCTTCCTACCATTTACCTTCAATCGCGTGCCAAACGGCGTCAACGGAATGAAGAGTTTATAGAGAGCGTAAAAGCGATCCAGAGCCTGCGATTCGTATGCCGAAGAATTTGCAATGTCAGCTCAGTCTTTCTTCTTCCTACCGTGCGTGTTGAATTGAGTGCACAATCCCTTGCGCGCCTTGATATGATCTCTCGTCATCCTACTATCGGCAAAGGCGTTAGAACTGTAAGAGTCATTACTCGTTGCTTGGACCGCATGCCTATTGATAGCTTTGAGAATTTCCGTCATCATAAATCTGAGTACTTGAGTGAAGCTCTAGATGGGGTGGTATCTGATGACGAGGGAGAAGAGTTCAGGATGAGTTGTGAGTTATATCGGCGGTATATATTAAATGGATCAGGTAATAGTATCAATGAAAGTATCTTGCACAATGGGCCGTTTGTGTTTGATGGATCGGATGGTATTATCACTGATAAAAACTTGCGTCAAATCTTCTGGAGCAAAGCTTATGGGCGGTATAAATATCTCCATGCAGAACAAGAAATTCTATCAGAAGAGGGTGTATTTCTGGAGGGCGTTGGCACTGCGGTCGCTCGAATGCCAAGGGCAACAACACTTCATCTTTGCGACAGGGGCGGTGATGACTTTTATGATTACAACCCTCATCCAAGACTTTATTCAACATCAAAATTACTGTTTGATTATTATGAAAACGAGGATGTACTTATCGACGATATTATTAAATCCAAACTTTTTGGGGGTGAGGATGAAAACAATTCATACCTAGGAACCGATACAAGCTGGAATTCACCATCCGCTCAGATACTTCTTAGGCTTCCAGGTGCTATCCACAAGGCTGGCAGGTCACTCGAAAACATCTGTATTGAAATAGAATGTCCCAGCGATCACAGAACTTTGGCCTCATTTGAGGACTTCCAAGAACTTTCAGCTGCGACACAGCGGCTAAAACAGTTCACATTTTATTGCACATATGACGAAGATGATGAAGATGAAGATGATCAGTGGACGCCCACGGAATTAGATGGTTTGGTTAAATACCTTTCTGCGATTGTGAACACAAATGCTCTAGAAAAGATTGACATCAATCTATCACACCATGCTATAGGGCTAGGGAACTTCGACATGGAGGAACAAAATCCATCGGTGCCTTCTTTGGGAACAATTCTCACCAGTCGTATATGGCCGAATCTCAAATCAATATATTTGTCCCGAGTACCGCTTCATCTATCAGAGCTAGAAACATTCATCGACAATCTAAAGTCATTAGATGTAGAAATGAATATACAATATATGTATCTCATAAGTGGCTCGTGGAGCGATGGACTCGAAACATTCAAAAGGAATTTGATTCAAAATTTGGTCCTTAGGGAGCCAATTTCAAGGTCGGAGTGCCGAGCATTACTTTCCAGCGGAAAGCTCTTTTGGGACTGGGACAAGGGGCAATTTTATTGGGACTGTAGCCATTCACTACTGAAAACTAGAACAAGTGATTACTAAGGATGGAGCACACTCGATTCTCCTCCAAGTCTCGAATCAGTGTACCAGGGGAAGTTTGTGCTTTATCCAAGCGAGGATTCATGGTTTACGGCCTTTCATAGTTCGCATGTCACCTTGAATCCACAGCAGCAGTGGAAGCAAGTATAGAGATTCCGATTTGATTGAAAGCCACGGTAGCAATATTATTTGTTAAGTATAAGGGGCATTGAAGTGTATACTTGTCAAGATAGACAGGATGAGGATACCCGGAAGGTTGTAGCTTAATATATATCAGGAGGTATGTAGTCCACGATTTGACATGATAAATTGATCTGTGGAGTTTGGGGCAAGAAAAGAAATTTACTGACTGTTCGAGCAGCACACAGGATAAGAGCATGGAAACACATACCTCCAGGACTACCGGTGATCAAGCTATACGAAAATAGTGTCGTTATCTCAGTGATGACGGACTAAAGCGATATGTAGTTTTAATAGATGTAAAATTTCAACACAACCATGTCCAAGTCATGAAAGCTCCATGAGAAAGCACTACCCAGTGATGTCACAGCACAAGAATGAAACTATTCATCCATCAAGTAAGAATCCACACGATATCGCAATCTAACACACAGTACAAGAAGCTCTTCTCGTAAGCCGCAACGGTAGTCATAGACACAAACTCTCTGAATCAACAAGAGCTGGCCATAACACAATGCTCCGCGACTCCGATGCCTATACCAAATCACTAAAAATAGCCCTCCACTCGAAGTGGTAATCTTCAACCACACATTTCTCGGACATCAGGAGATACTGTATTGCTTTCCACTGGAAGAACATACGGATATGCCGTGCTTTCTAGAGAGACGCGAAGCAAAGGGGCTTTGTGAAGATGTCGTCTAGATCTAGATATGTTTTGTTGATTTTGTTGACCCCCACTAGTTTTGAGCTACGACGCGACGTCCACTGATATTTAGGCTCAGCACAGACCCTTATCAAGGTCCACTGACGAACTCCGGAATCTTATCGACGCTCTAATACAGAGAGAGCATAGCATTGAACCACCAAATATGTTATACTCGAATTGATACTTTCATACAGCTTTCTCTCGTCCGAAAAGGTCCTTCAAGTGTTTATCGCACAAGTGGAATTCTCCATTGGGAAAAAGAGGACATTCAAATGAATGGAAGAAAGTGATTGTATCCGTCATACTCTTCAACACAATCCAAGGTAGGAATCCCTCTACTGATAACGCGCTACAGCACGTCAGGTATGGCTGGCACAGCACATCAAGCACAGTCAGTATGTAAGATGTGATGTTACAGTGACTACATAATCGGACACCGAGCACCGAAGTGTTCTATTGAGATTCAATGGGTCTTGTTTGCTTTGCCATGATGGATAATTGTATATAAGATAAGACTAACACCCTTTTCCTTTCTTGCATTTTGGATATCTAGATTCAATATTACTTTGTGTCGTCTATCTGAACTCTCTGAATTGCGCGAGATATACAAATTTTGGTCAAGATGAGATTCTTATGTTTACATGGAAAAGGCACAAGTGCTGAGATCTTTTCTATTCAATCTGGTATGTTATGTTCTCCTCCCCAGGAATCTTCACCCAAATTCCTATGTTACAATATATTTCCACCATATAAAACCATGTTCTAACGCATAACCTCCCAGCAACATTCCGCCGTCTCCTTCCCCCCTCATATACATTCGAATTCCTCGACGGACCCTACACATCTCCCCCCGCAGCCGGTGTATCCCTCTTCTTCAACCCTCCATATTACGCCTATTACCACTCCTCAGACCCCTCCGCCATCCGCGAATCCTACTCCTACCTCCAGGAACACATTGACAAAAATGGTCCTTACGATGGTGTAATGTGTTTTTCGCAAGGATGTGCGCTCGTCGCAGGTTTCTTACTAGATCATCAGGTTACACGACCACATATTCCTTTACCGTTCAGCTGTGCCATTTTTATCTGTGGAGGCATGCCATTACCTATCGTCGAAGACCTAGGTATCGAAATTCCCAGCTTTGCACGAGATTTGGAAACACAATCCGTAAAAGAACTCTTCGCGACCGCTAACTCGGTCGAAACGGCCAAGCCTGGAGATGATTATTGGAATACAAAGGCCGAGAAAACTTCAATACTGAATGTGGAAAATGTAGATATGGAGAATCCATATGAATTACAAGTTCCTGAGGGATGGAAGATACAGATCCCTACGGTACATATTTATGGGCAGAAAGATCCCCGTCGGTTGGCGGGTCTGAATTTGGCGAGCTTTTGTGCGGGAAAGAAGAAGGTTTGGAATCATGGGGGTGGTCATGATATTCCTAGGTTGTCGACGGTCTCGAATAAGATTGCGGGATTAGTCCAGTGGTGCGCAAGTGCCGTAGGAGAGGGGAGAGAAGCTGAAGGTTTGTGAAGGGGGATTGCATTTGAAAGAGCTTTGTAAGATCATGGTTTCTATAAAGTTTGGCATTGCGAGTTGATTTGAATGGTTCAAAGAGCGCTTTTAATAAGAGGATCTAGGCCATTTCCCCAAGGTCTGTTTGCAACGATATGCGCAGTTTTATATATGGTCGCTTACTCCGAGGGCTGCTGCCATCATTTTAGAATTTAGATGGATGTTGGGCATGTATTTAGCCCCTGCATTTTTTTCACTGCCCAGTGTAATAAGCTGAGGGCATTCTATACAAATTGTATTGCATTTTCACTAAGATAGTCTTAAACCTCACCTTTTCCCTTCATACCTCAAGGCAATATCTTATCTCCTTCTCCTCTCTCTCTCGCCTCCTCCCTTAATCTATAAGGTCCCAGAGGCACCTTGATATCACCCGCATAGCCGATATCTCCCTTCGCCTCTTCCAATTTCTTAGTCATCTTCCCTACCATTTTGGCAATCCATCTATCGTTAACCGTGGCACTGACAAGCGTCTTCTTCATTCCTTTATGAGCCTTATCATTCATCACGAGATTTGATTAGTTACCGAGAAGAAGAAAAAGGGGCAGGGAAATGGGGGGGGGGAGGAAGCATAGCTGATGAGAAATAAGAATCAGAAATGGAAATACATACATCTTTCACTCCTCCCTTCACAATTCCCACCAAATCTCTAAACCCGTGGATCTCCTCATCCATCCATCGTTTCTCCTTCTCCACTTCTACCACCTTACTCGCCTTCACAACGCTGGCCAGCCAATCTAAAAGCTCCTGATCCATCACTATGGGTAATTGTGCATGTGCTGCTATGCGAACTTCGCACTCATCCTTTTTTGTTCCATCATCTCCTTTTTCTTGGGTAGATTCGTCTTCTTCCCCATCTCCCTTTACTTCCCCTCTACTTTTTGTTTTACATGAGCCGGCTTGAACAGGTAATATGTGATCATGATGCGGCAGCAAAAAACTCGGAATCGCAAATGTGGCGTCCGCGCCCCCGAGGCGCACAACTTGTTTCAATGCAATGGTGGAGGGGAGAGTACGATAGACTTGTATGTTGCTGGTGGATAGCGCACAGTGGATATCGTATGTGGAAAGGAAGGGGACTTGTGCAAGAGCAGTGATCGAACCCAGTTGAAGCACGAAGTTGGCGGGTAAGAGCCACTCGTTGATTCGTTGTTGGATTTTGGGGATGGTGGATTCGTCGTCGTCGTCGGTGGTGGGGTCGGGATTGGATGATTTGCGAGATGCGAAGGGTGCGGATGAGAAGATGGGGGAGGTGGGGGAGGAGGGGGGGGTGTAAATCGGGGTGTTTTTGAAGAGTTTCGCGGAGAGGATTTCTTGGATCCATTTTCCGGATCCGGTGGCTGTCAGGGAGGAGATTTTCACGGGGTGGAAGTGCGCGAGTGGGTTGAGGAGCAGCCGGAGGAGCATGGGGAGTCGATGCAGAAAGGCGCGGATGTGGGGTGGTGCTAGGGTTTGGAGCGTGGTGACTTTGATGGAGCGGGATGGTGGGTGTGTGATGGATGGATGGTGGTGCAGTTGGGAACAGATTGCTGCGCGGATATCGTTGTTGCTGTTTTCGTTGACGGTTTCGCGGGGGTGGGTGCTGTGGGGGTTTTGTTCGGACTTGGATTGCACGAGGTGCTGGATTTCTTGACGGCAGATTTCAATGCTGTTTGTGGAACGGATCATCTGGATGGTTTTGATGTATTGTTCATTGGCTGCTTCGGTGTCGTCTGGAGTGATGGTTCTGATGACCTTGATGCCCTCTTTTACATCTGTATCTATTGGTGCATGTCCATCGACCATGTCAGCTTTTACCGTTCTATCCTCGTTTTGATTGATGTTGATATTCCCAATCCCGTCCTCAAATTCCACCTCGTTCCCCTTAACAGCTCTCAACATTTTCGAATCCACCTCCCACACCTCATTCTCTCTTTTCTCATCATTGTTCTTCCGTGCAGTCCCATCTTCCGCATCTTTAAAACTCGACTCTCCCTCCCCACCCTTCACACTTACAAAGCAATCTCCCACTTCAATCCCCCTCCCCAACCTCACCACGACCTCCTCACACGCAATCCCGATTTCGATTTCCTCCACCTCCTCCCCCTCCCCTACCACCATCTTCAACCCCACCTCCACCCCATGCACCACCAAACTCATCGCACTCACCCGCAACGTCACCCCCCTCACCACCATCAACCCATCCACCTCCGTATCAATCTCCAACCCCGGAATATCAAAAATCCCCACCCGATCCTCAATAAACTGCAACCCAAACCGTCTCAACAACAACACCCTCCTCAACTGTCTCCTCAACATCTTTCCCACAACCGGAAATTGGAAAAGACACACAACAGGCACACCCCCCCAACACACAACCGCAAACAGATAGTAGAAAAGCCAACTCGTCCTACAAACACAGTAGATCAAATCCAGCATCGCAGCCAGCTGCCACAAAGGAAGATGACGCAGAATCCTCCCACTCCCACTCCCATCAAGTTCCCCCTTCTCTCTCCGATCACCAACCTCTCTCTTCCTCTCCCTCTCCCTCTCACCCCCCCCAAGCAAAATCGCCTCCAAAACCGGCGCCCCAGAAAATATCCAATAAACCGGCCATCGAAACGGAATACACAGACCCAAGATCAACAAGACGTACAGATATGGCGAAGAGATCAAATAGCACGAATGATGATAAATGTTATCTTTCCTCGTACGGGGCACCTGATTATCCATGCCTATGCTTGACTTTGCGATCAAGCTTTGCTCCGCACCGTGCGTGTGTATGTGGCTGAATTAAAGTTGCAGTATACTGATCCTATGGACGGGAAATATATAAGATTAAAAATACGATAGGTAGAGCCTCTGTATATACACGAAGGGAAATGATGGAGGAGAGATCTTGTAGACGATAAAGTTAATGTGTAAGGAAGATCAATTCCATAGAATCGCCAAAGTGATCGACAGGTACAAGTACTAGGTAAATAGGTAAAATCTTACACTTACGAAGTTTCCAAAGTCCCAGATCGAAGAAAAGGGGTGGGAAGGAAAACATTGAAGTTTACATAGAAACGACGTCATTGTTAGATATCAATGTCATTGACTAGTATAAAAATTTCGTTCCATAAAGAAAACTAGCTAAACTTCTAGTCTCAAGCCACCAAGAATGAAAGACACTTGGGTTTCTTTCATGATTATAGATAGGTATTCGCCTGCTTTAATTTAAATCTTTTAGTGCGAAGTTATTTACCAAATTCCGATGAACATGTTCATTTAATCACGTTTCATTTTGCAACTTCAAGATTTTGTAAATATCATCATATTCATTCCATTCCCTTCCATAGATAAATAAACCTAACTAATATACATGAAAGCCTTAAGCCCGAATAAGACAACGTAAGAAACCATTAAATCATCATAATAATCATAAATCACATGAATAATATCATTTAATCGACCGCTCGCCTGCCTGTCGAATTCATTTACAAAACTCGGTTGTTGGTGGTGTTTCCAAACTCAGAATTTTCTCCCAATCTGTTTTCGCTTGAGAGGCCATGGGTACCAGTTGATCCGGTCAAGCCAGAACCATGGCTGAGACCAGAGGAAGTGGTGTTGTGTCCAGTGAGGCCTGAACCGTGGCTTAAGCCTGTGGTACCGGTGGAAGTGGTGTTGTTACCAGTCAAACCAACGTCATGCTTCAAACCAGTAACATTGTTACCCGAAGAACCGGTGTTGTAACCAGTTAAACCGGATCCGTGAAGACCGGAGCCATGGCTCAAACCTGTAGTGCCGGTAGATGTGGCGTTGTGACCAGTGAGCCCAGAGCCGTGGCTCAAACCTGTGGTACCAGTAGAAGTGGCGTTGTGTCCAGTCAGTCCAGAACCATGGCTCAAGCCCGTGGTACCAGCAGACGCGGTGTTGTGACCAGCTAGATTATCGTGCTTCAAACCAGAGCCTGAAGAAGTGTTGCCCAATGGGGCGGAGTGAATTTCATTCTCCAATCCTCTACTCTTGCTGTGCTCATGTCCGCCACCGGTAGAAAAGCTGTGATCTTCACCGTGATCACGTCCAACTCCTCTAACTCCTTCATCTCCAGGGCGATGTTCATGTTGGTCAATCTTTCCTTCTCGAAGAGCAGCATTGGCTGCGGGATCGTCCATGACTGGAGCAGTGAAGATATGATCAGGGCCAGTGGAGTTATGAACTGGAGGTTCGATGTTTGAATTGTGGCCGTGGGTGTTGTCAGAGACTTGGACATTTCCGCGAGGGGCACCTGGAACACCAGATCCTACAGAACCAGCTGATACTGAATGCCCGCTCTCATGAGGGAATCCAGTAGGTCCGTTGACACCACGGTTTCTCTCAGCGCCATGGAGTTTATCCCCGATATCTTTACCCACAGGCTTTTGATCAAGACCATGAGTGTTGTGATGCTTATTGGCTTCGTAAGCTGTTCCTGCAGCGCCTCCTGCAAGGGCGGCATCTCTACCGTAGTGGTGACCTTCCTTGGAGCGATCACTGTCGACCCTTGGATCCACCTTATTCTCAATATTTGAGGAATGGGGGCCAGCTGTAGTGTGTGATGTGTTGTGGTGATGTTTATCAGCCTCGTATGCGGCAGTTCCGGCTCCACCAGCAAGAGCAGCATCCCGTCCATAGTGATGTTGCTCTCTTGAGCGATCACTATCAACTCTTGGATCGACCTTATTCTCGATATTTGAAGAGTGAGGACCAGCAGTAGTGTTAGCAGAGTTATGATGATGCTTGTTGGCTTCGTATGCAGCTCCACCAACAGCTCCAGCTACAGTAGCATCACGTCCATAATGGTGGTTTTGTTGCTTTGAGAGATCGCTATCCACTCGTGGGTCTGCTTTGTTGGCTAAGTTGGATGTGTGTGGTCCGGCAGTGGTGTTATGTCCATGTCCAGTTTCATAAGCTCCAACTGGGATTACGCCAGCAGCAGCAGAAGTACCCTTACTACCATGAACACCGTCAGCCTCTTCAGCGCCACCACCTTCAACTAGGCCTTTAGATTGAGGGCCATGTCCGTGATGAGTATGAGCATCTTCAGTACGAATTCCGGAACCACTCAAATGAGGATCCAGAAGATTTGCAGTCGCCGTGGTATGAGGTCCAGTAGTTCCTCGAAGACCACCCTGGCTGTGTTGGTTGTTATGATGATGAACGCCCTCTCCAACAGCTCCTGCGGTGCCAATTGCGGCAGTATCACGACCTAAGTGATGTCCTGAGGAGCTGGTTGTGGTTGTACCGTAAGCATCTTTAGTGCCGTAACCAGAGGAAGTCTTGTTTGGAAGACGATTTCCATCCAAATCTGAATCGACTCTTGGGTCAGCGGCATTCAATGCAGCCGAGTTATGTATTCCGTGGGAACCCTCAGCATGTCCATGAGTTGGATGGGATCCAAGACTAGTATTTTCATGCTTTCGGTGTTCGTGTTCAGCTAACCCTGCAGCACCAACTGCTCCACTTCCAATGGCGGCATCTCTGCCAAGGTGGGAATTTCCGTGACTGTCGACGTTGTCTCTACCATGAGTATTTAAACCGTTTCCTGAAGGAATACTGGTAACACCACCCAAGCCTGAAGTAGTGTTTGATGGAACACCAGCATTGTGTGACGAGAGAGGATCTCTAGTGTTGTGTCCTGTAAGCCCGGCTTCATTTGTGCGAGCTGCGGAATCGATGCCATGAGCATGTGCATTTGGTCCAGTGGTAGTTGAACCAAATTCAGAATCTCTAGGTCTGTGAGGAACGTTGTCTTGAGCAAGTCCTCCTGATGTATGGCTTAGACCTGCTGGTGTAGGATTTGCGTGGGTGGTATGAGATGTATGACTGGCATCGGTGACTGCGGGTGGGTGGGTTTCGGAGTGGGGGCCCTTTGCGAGATGGCTTCCTTCGCCAGCGTTCGAGTGAGCAGCTCCATGCTTTTCAGCCTTCTTCTCCTCTTTCTGCTCAATCTTCTCGGCCTTCTTCTCTTCCTTAACTTCCTTCTCGTGTTCCGGAGTAGTGCCGTGACTATTCAAAGGTTAGCATTTGCCAAATTGGTAGTTGTAGGTTAAGATATCTTACAGGAGTGCCTTGATCTTATCCATGATTGCGGTTTGGAAGATTTTTGATTGTAGTATGTGGTATGTATGTATTTAACTGGTTGTTGATGTACGTGAAAGTGCGATGATTAAGTTTGTGAACTAAGGGGTATCTTAAGCAAGTAGTAAATAGTATATGGGAAGAAATCGAAAGTAATGCGGCAATAGCGAAGTATTTGTATCATTGTCCTTGGCCCCAAAGCGTCTTTGACAAGTATTTGACAAGCTAAATCAAGGTAATTGAGGGGTAGATTTCGATATGAACGATGTCGTCAGCCTCCACAACTTGCCATCCACAGAAAGGACGGCATTCTGTTGTAGCTTGGTCTAACTGTCTCATAACGGGTTGAAAGGCTGGCTGATTGGCTAGCAAACGCGTTGAATGATGTAAAAGTTACCGGGAAGATGGCGCAACAAACGACCAAATTGTGGTGGAGTGAATTGTGCTGCTGATATCAAGGTCTGATCTCAAAGAAGCTCTCCACATCAGGTTAGCTTTCCGTTGAACTATGCATTGATGTAAGGACCTAGGAAATCTTGCATTCCCATCCTACTTATTACCAAGTGTCACCCCCAACATGACATTCTACCACCCTTCTCGTGAGAGATGATGCAACTGGTGAATAAGATCTACCGGTACATCGGGAGTTTTCAGCAAATTATGATGAATCCCACTTCTCGTGGTGGACTCGTATACTATTTGGGGATGCACAAAATGTCACCCAGACATCCAGATCGAATCAACAGGAATAGAACAGGTAAAAGGGAGATAAAGTTGGCAGGGACCCGCAAATGATCTGTTTGATGTTGCCGTGGTGCCTGCAGTCAAAGAATCTTTTACAGGTAGGTATGAGAAGGCTGTCCCCGCATTTTTCATTTGCCCCTCTTTTCCGCCACATTGTGTGGCTGCTTGACATCATCTGAAAGCGTGATCATGGATTTATGAATTTATGATGCTGTCTTTCAAATTCTTATGTTGTGCCTGTTGAACTTTCAATGCTTCCAAGTTTTCTCTTCTTTTCTCTTCTCTTCTCTTCTCATCTCTTCTCATCATACAAGGTACACGCCACAATGAAAAGATATCCACAGCCACAACCTGATTTTACAGTCATTGTGCTTTACTCTGCCTACCCACATGAATTGTCTTGAGCCTCCTGGTAGCTTCAAGTCCTTTTAGAATTAAGAGCGAGTTCACGCCATCGTATAAAAAAAACAGTGGTTGTGTTTCCTTCGCTCGTGGAGAATTGTTTTACATTTGAAAGTGGGCTGGCTGGTCGGATTGCAATTCGAGCCACCTCTATTGTGATCCAGATTCGTCAATTGATGTCAACACGCCAAAAGATAATAATAAAGCGAACGCTCAGTGTTTTCTCTATCGCAATTTGAATCCACTTCACTGGCGATGTTAAGCTGTCGTGCAATTCTTGTCGTAACGGCAGTAAGTAGAGATCGCAGTTATCGTTGCGATGGAGACAATGGTGCGGAGAATCTTGTTGCAAATATGTGAGACGAGAACGATGAAGGGGCTCTTGAAGTGTCCCACAGTGATGAAAATGTACACCATGTGCCTACTGCCTACTGCCTACTGCCTACTGCCTACTTGTTATTATTGTATACACATCACCAAACACTGAACGGATAGGGATGAACCAGTCAACATTGCTATCTCGTGACAATCCTGTGATTAAACAACATTTCTGCATTTGTTGCATATCTACTGATTTGGAATTATCTGGAATTTGCTCTAATGATTTGGAATAACGTTTGAATTTGAATTGGACATCGTTTCACGCTTACGAGCTTCTTACTGTTCCGGCGATCTTCTAAATGGAATGATTAGCATTTTTCTAGATCCGATACCTTTCTTCCATGGATCAATGATAAACCTTCACACGTTTTCAATCTACGAACGGGTACAATAGCACACTCGTTCTTGAAGATGCATCACATTGTACACTTACCTAATGGTAGTAGTAGTAATAATAGGAGTAAATTCTTAATTGATTCACGTTCCATCTACAGCCAATGCTACGCCGACCATGTGATACGCCTGTGTAGTCTCCAGTGAGTGTCTCGAGAGTATCTGGATAGTGGCTATACTTATCTATCTATGCACCACAAAGCAACTGTTTTCCCAATTCATGATCTGCGATGTTGCTCGCCACTTCTCCTACTCATCAATCATTTCCTTCTATGTACAATTCGATCGGCCTTCACACAAAACAGAGATCCAATGAATGGAAGCAAACACATGTTAGAGTATCGGTACAACAGTCCCGGGCCGTGCTATCATCTTTGACTTTTCTGATAACACGATCATCCCGATGCGATCCCTTTGCTCCGGACTGGCAATATCAAAAACGCGGGGGATCTGTTGTCCTACCCCAAACTGGGGTATTCCTAATTGTGAGCCTATCAGTATCGTGTTCTCTGTTGTGCAACCTCGCTTTCAGGTACTTGCAAGGTGGTCGACAGTGGATAAATAGATATGGAGTAGATGGGATAATCTAATGTGGAGATCTTGGATGGTTGGGCTCGACTCTTCGAGACCCAGTAGCCAGCTCCGAGAAGATGGATGAGACTTGGAGGGTTGAAATGGTGCCCCTGATTCTCTATACTCTCACAGCCTTGAATCAATCGCGCAGCGTAACAGAGCTCGAGCACCCACCTAGTGTGAGAAGCGAGGATATGAGGTATATGTGACCACTGACCAGCGTCACCGCCGTTCAATTGCAAAACCCCCCTGTGAATGAATGAGTCCCGAGTGTTATGTACTGTATATAAGAGGGAGAAGGACCAATGGCAACTAGTGACAAGCTGAAACCCCAAGCCATCACACCCATCATGTCTACCTAGACACTTGGTGAATCACCAAAAGTTTCTCCGAGACCGATGCATTAACCAGGATATCTGGGTGGCATATGCATGATACAAATGAAATTCTATCGTCTGATCACCCAATTCATACAAATACCAACGAGCCGGCCATGATCGAATCTCCACATCAAAACTTTGAATCTCGTATCCAATCCTCATCAAATCCCGATACCTCTTTAGGGTATGGGGCCCGATGCTTCTTAGAGGAAGAGGAAGAGGTCCCGACAAAGCATCGCAAGGATCCCAGAGGCACCAGCAAGGGCCTTTACCCCGCACGCTGTTTCCCACTCGCTGATCCTCCCCAGCTATGTCAGTGGCCTGTCTGTCACCTGCAGCGCTGGAAATCTTTTTTGGTAACTTCCTGTCAGATGTAGTGCAACCATTCGCGCGCAAGAAGACCTCCAACATTATTTCGAGATTATTTTACTCAATCCTTTCAGCTCGGCCTTTGCATCTCAATTTTTGTAACATAGAACGAGGGCTCTCGGTGGAATATTCGAAAAGTATATATTTATCTGTACCTGATGCTCTGCACATCTCGCTAGTATGCTTCTGTATACCAAAAAGGCTCCCCCGAAAGTTCCTAAGAAAAGGTCGAGAGCTGGTAAGTGTCGATTCACTATTTCGGATCATCATGGCTAACATTGATTGTTATAAAAGGATGTATACATTGGTGAGTTGGCTCATTTCGTAGTTGGTCTTGATTGATTTGCGCTGTACTAATCGTGACATAGTAAGGAAAAGGTACGGAATCTGACCATCAATCAACCCATGCAAGTCTTAACAACAACCACAGAAAAAGAAATGTAACGAAGAACGTCCGCAATGCAACAGATGTACAGAACGAGGCCTGCAATGCGAATATGAAGCAGTAAAGCCACGAAAACGAAGAAGGGCGTCCTATGCGGAATCTGCCCTCTCGCTCGAATATGGCTCCCCAGGCTCCGATCGCGAACGATGGCCGCGACAGTATTCGCAAGGGCTCAGCATAATTACAGACAAAAGTGCGGAAGGTGTGCCAAACAGTTGGGAGGAAACGACGGAATATCCACTATCTGCAACTTCTGAGCAGTCGGGCTTTACTTGGGGAAGCTTTTATGATAATGACAACGAAGTGGAAGAAATAATACGAGAAGATCCATTTGACAATTCTTCTTCTGGAAGCACACTGGTTCGATCACGAAGTCAATATCCAGATTTAGCAATGATTGCTCCTTCCCCTGTTGCATCTCCTCTTCTCGAATTTAGTTCACCAGTGTTTCTAGAATTCGCAGAGAGAAGAAACCGCAGGGCTCTCGTGGACCATTTCTGCAATACTCTGTCTCATCTCATTGTGTTCAAAGAAGATACGGGAAATCCATTTCGGCAACTTATTCTACCATTGTCTCACGCCAGTTCACCAGTGATGAATGCAATATTCGCATTGAGTAGTGCACATATGGAATATAGGGGAGTGGAGAATGAAGAGAAATCCTCGGATTTTCACAACAACGCTTTACAAGGATTGGCAAAGCTCATTCAACAAAACGATCAGGCAAATAGAGAAGAAATTCTAGGCGCAATAATGTTACTCGTTTACTACGAAGTGGTAAGTCATATTACTTCCGGATTAATTATTGTGGCGCAAATTAATCTTGTTTTAGCTCGTACAACGCGGAAACTCGAGTATTGTACATGGTCATCTGAAAGGAGCGATGACGATTATGGATTCTAGACGTCAGGAACCGAGTCCGACGAGCCTATTTCTCGAGCGGGTATGTTCTTCGCTGATTATCATACGGGCTTGTTTCTAATTGAACTAGGCCTTCCGATTTTACGATGTCATTACAGCTCTTTCTCTAGGTACACCTCCAACTACTACTTCGCAGCCTACAGCAAGCCCATTTCCTTTACCGTTTTCACCCAATGATGCAAACAAGAATTCACCATTAGATTCGGTTGACACACTCCTTGGTCTTTCGACAGAACTATGGCCAATTATTCATCGACTTGCACACCTGCTATCTTACAAGTCTTCTCTTCAATCCGCAATTGAAGGTAATCAATTGAGTAAAGCAAGTGTTCTACGGACTGAATTAGAAAGTACATCTCAGGCTATAGAGATGGCTCTTACGAACTGGAAGCCAAGTTTCGTGGCTAAAGGACCTTCCTCACCCAGGGAGGATAACGAAGAAGACGATGCTTCCTCGAAGTATGATATTACTCCCGAGGAAGCACGTATGCAAACCATCCTTAACAATGCCGAAGCATATCGTCACTCCGCGTTCATATATCTCTATCGTACCATTCAATCTCACCCCAGGTCCCATCCTTTGGTCCAAAAACATACAAATCTTTCACTAATCGCTTGTGCCAATGTTGTCGGACTAGCGGAGCTATGCGATGATGCACCAATGTCTGCGTTATTATGGCCATTATTTGTGGCAGCATGCGAAGCTGAATCGGAAACGGATAGGGAATTAGCGACGAAGGCTTTTGAGGGAACAGAGAGGAGACAGGGAATGCAGAATATTTTGCGTGCTTGGGAAGTGGTGCAAGAGGTTTGGATTAGGGCAGATAAGGGGATCTATGAGGATGGGGATTGGCGGGAAATTTGTGATAGCAAAGGGTGGAACATTGTTCTGGGATAGGGGAGGTACTGCTACAGTCGAAAATGTCACGCGTCCGACAAGTGATAATAGTTCGTCCAAAAGTACGCTGTTGCTTAGGAGGTTGGGGGATACATTTACTGCGGCTTGTCTGGGAATTCTTGCAACCAAAAAGAAGTTGTTTACATTTTTCAGAACCAGGGGCGAATATCAATATCCAACATCAAGCGGGTAAATCTACCAGTCGCGAATTACCAGTGAATAAGACCTCCAATTTTGGTTGTGGAGGGTGAGATGGGATGCTATTTGGACATTGATTTGATGATTTAATGAGAAGTTTGTTGGATCCAGTCTGGGATAAATGCATGGTAATTGGGGTAGGTGGTCCTGGAATTGGCATTGACATTGGATTGGCGAGGAGTTGTATATATGGTTGTACATTGTTAGTCATGGTATGGAGTGTATATCTGGGTTTTGAAATTGAAACCCAAAACCAAAATGAAATACAAAATCGAAAACTTTCATTGAATCTTGGAGGCCTGGTGTTCAAAGTATCTTGTTTAGGTAATACTGGGTCGAAAACTTTCATTGAACCTTGGAGGCCTGGTGTTCAAAGTATCTTGTCTAGGTAATACTGGGAAATGTAATTCAAGGATACAAATTGAGATTTTGCCATACCAGCCGAATCAACCCAGCTAAACCCATCGCAAAAGTCCAAATCACAACCCGCCCGCATTCATCTAAAACAGCTTAACTGTCAACTTCCCACCCCAACGCAAAACCTCCCTCTTTCTCCACTTCCTCAGCTCCTCCACAATATCAACATCATGCACTCCATCATTTCCCTGCTCCTCTTTCCCCATCGCCGTCGCGGTGCGAATATCCTCCTGGCTTAGAAACGAAAAGTCACGAGCGAGCTCCTTGTGATAGGCATCCGCATCCTGATCATCCGTGATCGAAGCACCGCCACCACCACCGTCCGCAGATCGCGCCTCGGGGAGAAATTCGAGGATGAGTTCTCGAAGGCCGGGGTAGAGGAGCGGAGCGCGTCGGCTTGTGAGATTTTTTTGGGTGTTTTGGATTGTGAATTCTTGCAAGGAGAGACGGCGGATGAAGTGTTGGAGCGCGGGGAAGAGTGAGGTGCTTGAGTTTGAGCTTGAGTTTGAGTTTGATTTTGATTTGCGGGGGAGGGAAGTGAGGGTTAGGGTGTGTAGACGTGGGGTGCTGAAGGGGTCGAAGGGGGGTGGGGATCTTGTGGGGGGTTTGGGATGGGTCTGAGATGTTGGGGGGTGTGGTTGTGATTGGGGCTTTGTCGGAGTGGGAGTGGGAGTTTTTGTTGTAGGGTTTGGTAGGTAGTGGATGATGTGTTACGATAGAGTGGTGGATACGGAGGATTTCTAGACGGGGCTGCCATTTTCGAGAGAGGTAAGGGATGCTGTGTTCTTGGGCGTGGATATCGATGCCGGATCCGGCTCCGATGGGTGAATTGGGGCGGGTGGATCCGATGTCTAGGACTTGTAGAGACTGTAGGTTGTAGGTATTAGTATTGTCTATTCAGGAAGGGATTTGGGGGAAATGAAAAAGGTCTGTTGATGCTGAATGGAGAGGCGGAAAGTGTACATATTCTGAAGCATATAAACGAGAGATTGGGAGCGAGGAATAAAACTAGACGATAGGTATGATATATGGTGAATCAATCAAGCTTACATTGGTGCTGGCCAGGAGGATTTTAGATGCAAGAGCTGTGAATTTGTTGTTTGATATGTAGAGATGGGTCAGGCCTGTAACCAGTAGAAGATTATCTTCAGCATTATTCCTTCGCTCAAGAATGTTCATGCCATTCCTAGAGCTTTCAACCTCTTGAATACAGTCGGGACGAAGAGTAGTTATTGTAGTCGGAGACGAGTCGCTACTTTCGTTAATCTCACAGTAAATTGGAGGGTCTTCGAACAGATGATCGTCTGTTGCACGGAGAGGACCATGTTTGTAATTTGGCAATCGTTCCAGAAAGCAGCCTCGTATCAGAGGATAGATCAAATTGTCAGTCAAGAGATTATCACGAAGGTCTAACGACCAAATCTGCCTTCTAGAGTTGGTCACAATGGGAGGTAACATGGTATCTGTCAATCTCAGACCTCGCAGCTTCAAGATTCTCAGTTTTGGAAGATTCTGTATGGTGAACATCCCTCTCCAATTTGTGCTGCAAGCTGTCTCAGATGCGTCAAGATATATCAGGTTCTTGGTTATATTTTGATTGAGAATCAGGGAGTAGTTGAATGTATTGCAACCAGCCGCGCTCAAGAATTCTGGCTGCGGCGCTCCATTATAATCACCTGGCAGGTCAGCGCCAGTAGCCAAGCCGTAGTCTTCGGGGCATGTTGGTGCGAGAAGAATGCAATTGAGATCTGGAAAATTCCTGACGAACTTAAAGAACCACTCAGGCTTCAGATTGGGCCCAAATACAACGCAATCTTTCGTTTGAGCTCTGTCACGTCTGATCTCGTGTAGTGCACGCAGGTCAAGAATTCGAACTCTCTTGAGCGTCTTGAGATCATGTTTTGTAGAGGCAAAGAAGAATTTGGTAACAACTCCTAGATTTAGTCAGTGGACAAGTCTGTGAGACTGATCAGACTAAACCCTCACCACAAGGTTCCTTTCTTTGGGCTAGGTCTCGGAATGGGTTAGCCCAAAGATAATTGCCAAATTTCTCATTGAAGTGAGAATTGACGAGACAGCCAAAGTAGAGATCGAAGGTGTTAAGATACGGGGCAACGAGGGTTGCAACATCTTTGTTGAGCTCATGATATGCAGGTAGAGGGTCCATATTGTCTGCAATTGACTGATTAAGCCTTTGGAATTAATTGTAAAGCTCCGGGTTTGGCATGGAAACATTGCCGTCAACGACCCAGAACTTTGGAGGAGGAAAGTCCAATGCGATCAAATTGACAAGCGATACATCCCCATCTTTCCAATAATTGGCCCATCGTTTGGAGGTTCGATGATGAGATGTTTGTGATGACCTAGAACGTGATCACTGAAAAATTACAATCAGTGGTATGCTGATGGAGATTCCAATGATACTGTGGCTATGCCCTCGGAGGTCGGAAACCCCAACCATCACCAATAAAGAAGTTTGGGGTGGATGGCTGCTTTAACGATTTTTGGACAAACACCTATCACGCCCGATTCTCCATATACAGAAATATCGACAACAGGACTGCTCTGGATTTTATTATATAGAGCAAATTAAACGAAAGGTGGAGAGTCTGATACGGATATGAGCCTGTGGTAGTCAAAATTTGGTAAGGCGGGCTGTGGCTCTTCAACATTCAGTCAACGCCACTACAACAATCACCACGAAGCCTTAAACGAAATTTCGTCTATCATTTGGTAGTCGGCTCTGACATCACCGTCTTACAGCGATTGTTTGCAGCTGGGTCGAATGTGTTGGAATTTTCCGTATCAAAGTTAGTTTCCTGTGCCATTTCATGGTGAATGTTACGCCTTTCAATTGACATGCTGACAAAAGCAGGCTAACTAACTGGTTGACTCTATGTGGGGCAATAGAGGGAGCTTCGATACTCAACATATAGAGTCAATTCAGAGCCATGCCCGTGATTTATTGCTATCAAGACAAGACAGCAAACCTATGAAATCTCATTCTATTCATTGTATTAAGGAAACTACACCTTTATCAACATCATGCATCTCGTAAACTGCAACGCCGAGAAGCGACCAGAGGTTTTACGTGACTTCATCCGTCAGAATCCCCTTGGTATCTTAACAACTGCAATCAAATCGGAGACGTATCCATTTCTTCAAAACAGTCACATTCCTTGGATAATCGATGCCGACTTTGATGGCAATACAAGTGGTCTTGGTAGACTTCGTGGTCACATTGCACGACAAAATCCTCAGGCAAAAGCCATCATAGAAAGTTGCACAGCAGACGACAAGTTACCAGCATCAAATATCCTTGAGAATGACGTTCTTGTATTGTTCAATGGACCAGTCCATCACTATGTGACACCCAAGTTCTACAAGCAGACCAAACCTGATACTGGAAAAGTAGTTCCTACCTGGGATTACGAAGCTGTGGAGCTTTACGGTAAAGCAAAGGTCTACTACGATACAAAGTCTGCTGAATCTGGGGCATTTCTTGCAAAGCAGATATCTGACCTCTCCGATCATATGGAGATGTCGGTGATGGGTTATGGCAAGACTGCAGGAACATATCCGTGGAAAGTGGAGGATGCACCCGAGCGGTATATTGAATTGCTCACCAAGAACATCATTGGGATAGAAATTGAGATCACTTCCATGTCAGGGAGGTTCAAGTGGAGTCAAGAAAAGAATGTTAATGATAGAACTGGGGTGATGGAAGGATTCAGAAACTTGGATACGCCTGGCGGTGCGCTACTCTCTGAGAAAGTCGAAACCTACGCTGCTCTTTTTGATGCAGACAAAGCTGCAAAGAAGGCGGGAATATAGTCATTTGAAGGAGGGAGGAAGTTGTGTATTCTACAATTCAGCGTCGTTAGTTTTTATATGACACTTGTGCATTCTTTGGCCTCATTACATCTCGAAAGTAAGTTCGATAGTCTACTGAGATTAAGTTTTCATGTGCTTTGGGTTGCAGACTTCAATTTAGAGTTATCATGCGTTTAGAAAAATCGCAGTTATCGTAGTCTTCTATCAAAGTTGTCTGTCCTTTTCACGATCCAATCAGAAAGCAAATCTGGTTATATCAAACGAAGCATAATAAGTGATGCTATGCCAGCATTAGACGCGAGGTCTAGAACCAGATTCCGTTTGGACTCGGCATACTTGAATTTCTCACTTATAAGCAGGCTTGGGGTCAGTATGTACATGCCAGTAATATAACGGATAATATAGCAGCCCAAAGTTACACGAACAATAACGACCTGATTCTGATATGTCTCTCGCCCAGGAAATTACACAATCTATGGCTTTAAGCCTCTTGATCTATCTATAATATATATCGGTCTATACGGACGCGATCAATATACTCGTGAGCCCTCCCGAACTTGAGACCTCTGTCCACGCAAGGGGCCAATTTGACATACGACAACGGCTATACATAGTCTGAGATATCAAAAATGAACAAAATGAATGAAGATTGATGCGGACTAATGCACTAGCAGGCGCGTTATATGTATGCAAATGTGTGTAGCCGTCGTACCTGCAGTATGGAGTGCATGTTTTTGGAAATGACGGTATCGTGAGATTTTATTGTGTAGGTGTCTTCACTTTTTGCTAAATTGTTTGTAAATCGTCTGATGATCGGCAAGAAGAGAAACAATGTAACTGCATGCTGTCACTGACATTTCTCTCACTGATACTGTATTCTTCCTCATAACTGAAGCCACGCATTTGATTATTTAGATAAAGTTCAATATTAAGTGAATATACGACAATATTAACTCTTTCCCAAGCTCCAATGCCCAAAATAAGTCCAGCCAAGTACAATACAACCCAATACAGCCAACCAATACCAATACATATGCCTGAAAGCTGGAATACGAAAGTTCCGTCTCCTGTATCTCTTGTATAATTTTCCAAATCCTTCCTCTCTATTTTTCAATAATAAATAAGTATAAATGTGCCAATCAATCAAACATGGTTAGTAATGATGAAGATGAATGCATTTTTGACAAAATCTCCCCTGTCCTTTTTCGTTTCATCTACAGCCTTCCATCCATATTTTCTCAGATTGAATTAACAACATTTGCTGCTATCTCATCTCACAGCTGTAAGTAATGAAGTTTTCTCCAGTTGATACAAGGCTTCCTGTCACTGATATCAATAAGCAATCAATCTAGTCCTGGTCGTGGCAGATTTTGCTTCCGAGTCCTCATGCTTGCGACTCTTTTTGCTCATTGACTCCCACACTTTATCAGCATCTGCGTGCCATTCAGTTCGAGCGGCCTTCCTATCCCGCTTCCTGTGGAGGTCGATGTGCGATTTCAGATTATCTGTACGCCCGAATTCTTTCACACAGAAGGGACATTTGTGTTTGGGAGCAAGCTGGTCGTGTGTATGCTCATGTCGCTTGAGGTGTTCTTGTCGTTGGAATTTCCTGTTACATCCGGGGTGGAGGCAAGGCAACTTATTTCTGTTTTGCACTCGTATTGGTACTGTTTCTCGCTTTATTTTCCTACGGGTTGTTGCTTTTGTTGGGGTAGCGGCTTGAATTCTTTGCAGAGCAGCTGCACTTTGAGGGCTGTCGAAGTACGGTCTTCGGAACTGTTGTTGTCGTATAGGAGAGATTGAATCTTGTCTGAGGTCTTGGTAATTTGTTGGTGGAGCGAGATATCCTGTGGTAGAAGTCCCTGCGGGAGAATTGTTGTAAGATCTTTGAGTGTTGAAATCTGATGAGGGTGTTCCAAATTTTATGGGTGTGAGTGGACCGATTGGAGAAGACTGAAAATCGGCAAAGGTGTCGATTAATGTTGTTTGTGCCGGGTCCACATAATCCATAGCCCCCGAAGATTCAGACGTTGAAGTTGGTGAATATAAATCGTTCATAAGCGATGGGATGTCACTTGAAGGACAATGTGTTTCAAATGATCCAAAGGTAGCAGGTGAGTAGCCTTGGAAACCAGTATCGAAGGCAATTGGCGGATTTGCATCAGCCAATGCCTTTCCGTCATCCATACCAAGGTAGGTGCTAGGCTCTTGAAAGCCGGTGAGCATGTCTTGTGTCATGGCCGACATAGCACAGAATGCATTACTATTTGAGCTTCCATATCTATCCGGGAGGTTGTTGTAGTCATGGAAAGATAAATCCTCCATCTTGACGGTCTCGTCGAAAGACGTACGTCTAGTAATTGAACTCGTAGGTGTGCCAGCATGAATTTGCAAAGAAGATTCCCAAGAGGAATTTAATGACTCGGTATATGAATCACTCGCTGATGGAGTGCGAGTACTTGTAGGTTGATTGATTGAATAGGAATCTTTCCTGCTCTCGTACACCAGCATAGCTATATGGGAGTAGATAGTTGAAACTTTGTAGCAAAGACTAACTAGTGCTGAGTTAATATGGGATATGCTGAAGTTTGTTACATCAGAAACTTACAGTCTTATAGGTGCTCTGCACTCTGTGTGTGTTCTTGAGAAAAGCTGAAGACGTTGTATCTATTCAGTGAGTCAATGAGCTCCAATGAGTTTGAAATTGTCCAGGGTGATTCTTGCTTCCATTTATGAATGGATTCATGAACGTCGATATCACTGATGCCGTGAAAACCGGCATCACTACCAATATTGTCACTCCAGAAGGGATATAGCTAGACAGAACTTACAGACTATTTGCAGTCGTCAAGACAAATTTAAGTCGCGTTTTGAGTCGCGTACTGTTGAAAAACTGCAGTGCGGCACACGCAAGGCTCGTGTATTTCAGAATCAAATAAGGATCAGTTATGCCCTTTTCTAAGAATCGAACGCTGAATCTCGCTAATTAGGAGATTAGTATTTTTCAGGAACGCGCCGTTATACCAAGAAGGACTCACTGGATATCTACCGATTCTGTGAATTACAGCAAGGGAACTAAGGAGTGTGTTCGACTTCCGGAGAAGGATGAAAAAACAGTATAGTACAAGTAGGACTTCTGAGACGAGCTATTGTCCAGTGTCAATCGTGTGGTACCTTGCAGAATAGCTTCGAAATCCCTTGAGGGGGGGTCAGTTCTCCCTCTTTAATGGCCCTCGCCTCACGGAAGCCAAATCGTACATGTCAAATGATGGCGAAGAAGTCCTCGAGTAAGTTGGATCAACACTAGTCTGTCAAATTGTGGATTGTGGGGTTTCCATAAGACACTGATAATGATCTATTGGTGAAAGACCAAGAGAGTTGATTGTGGGCTGGGTCTCACTATTTCGTACATATGCAAATTGGTCTAGTATAACAGGGATCAATCGCCAGAAAGCAAAGAATTATGCAGGTCCTTCTTCCACATCACACCTAAAATGAACTGAAGAGCTGTGAAATGCTTGGTTTTAATCCAGATATTTGCACAAGGTTGCCTCCCTGGGTGCAGATCTACGATCTCGCATTCTCCAAACCGTTTGTAATCAGCCATTTATGTGCCCATTACGAGGTTGAGTTTTTCGCGAAGAATGAGACGATGGTCTCTGGAATGCTCAACATTATGAGGACTTCCAGTATTAATCATCGTGCTGATTCGCGACGTTGAGAAAGCTTGAAAGCCATCAGGCCACTGCCAAAGGCCTCTGATTTCCACTGGCGTTTTCAGTCAACCTTGAAAGGTCTCGATTGATTGTTCAATTGAAACCCTCGGAGTTGACGATATACACTATCTCAACAAAATGCTTTGTTTGTACGGGTGTTCCAGAAAGCATATGATGATTGGTCAATTAGTTATTCACGATACTTCATGCGTCCAATCAAGATCGGATATGGCACAGCAGCCAGTCGCGCTTACTTCTGCCAATAAACCAATAAATGAGAAAAGCCTCTGCCACTTGATAGACGCCTCCGAGGCCCCCAAGATAGAAAGCTGAAATAGCCACCAAAGCTTTTTGTGGCTGATCTACGAACTATCAATCGGGAAAAAGACCTAGAACAGTATCATATATGACAGAAAATTCAACCAATGAATCAATTTTCACGGGGTTTGTGAAAATATGGCCAATCAAAACTTCGGACATAACAACACGCGAAGTCTTTTCTGGTGTTATTCCTCTGGTACAAATCCGGGCTCCAACATACTCGTCTTGGTCGGTACAAAGGTACAGTCAGACCGTGAGAGAATGGAAGGGGTGTGAAGGTTGAGGTTGAGCCGAATAGGGATTCTAACCCTCCTTCATTCCGGCTAACATTTATTGAGTCGGCTCGGCTATCATTGGAAGAGGAGTCATATGTGATATCACTCGCATCAATTCATGGAGATAGTGAGAACTGTCAATACACACAAAGAACAGGTTTCTATCTTGCCGGTTATTGCGATAAAAAAACAAACACAATTCATTGCGTTTGTTAGATCAATATGATAAAAGTCCTGGACCAACAAAAAGCCAGCGCATCATATTTTCGTTGCCCTGCCTACCTAGGCATCATCCGATATCAGGGCCCCCGAACTCGGTAGTCAAGATACCCTGCAAGTATTAATACTAACCAGTACCAAGGGACTACTTTTCGTCACTATTCTGTCAAATATGCAGCAAGAAGAAATTTGGTTGGGATAGTTTCTAAAACCATTAAAGTTTTCTTACTTATCAAATCAAGCGATAATTGACTGCGGTTTCTATTTTGGCTAGCTACATATTCATCTCCGTGCACTCTGCATGCCAGGAATGTACTAGATCAATTCTGGAGTAAAAGATGTGATATGTTGTGCATTTTCATCACTACAATCAGGAGCACAGATATTGCAGGATGTAAATATTTTACTCCGTAAGCAGTGGAAGTTCACGCATATAATATCGCCTAAGATATCTCGGTTTGCTTGTGCGGGGATAGTCGAAGACCTTCATGCAAAATTACACGATCAAATCCGACAATTTGGTACCATTGGCCAACCGGCTTGAGCAAGGCTTACTGCTGCACCATGTGGTTAGAAACATTATGCATTATCTCACTACACTGCGCTCTTTCCGTATGGTTCCAGAGAGAATCCTCTGCATATTGATAAACCTGCCAATGCCAGTAATACATTCGTGGAGCGATGCATGCTCGAACGGAAGCAGAACGACAGTCTAAAACATCGCCACTATAATTGGAGACTGAAGTCAATGGCTCCAATTTGCAGTAGTCTTTAAGAGACACATCCACATCCACATGCAATTGACGACTGGATGAGGAGATGCTAACAGAGGTTAAAGACCTCCTCGAAATCTAGGGTTCTTACACATGGATCTATCAGCTTCTACAGTTTTTGTGGTGTATCCAACCACTACTTCCTTAGAAGTAGCCATCCACCACACACTTAGTCTGCGTTCCTTTCCAACTTCATGGTATCCCTGGAAGACGTCGTTGGGACTGCTGATATCAGTTTCCTCCTCTCACAGCCATAATATGTGTGATGAGCCGGGAAACCCATTTCACTCTCCAGGACAGAGTTACATTGACTATAGAATACATTCGAGGATTTAATATAATCTTGGCAGTCTCAACTTTTCATCTATAAAAAGGAGACAGAATCGTTGTGTAATCATAACCTTATATCTTCTTCTTCTTCTTCCGCTTGAACTCACTGCTCACAATACTCTTTCTATCCTTCCACAGACTCTGCTCGAAAATCTCTCATCCGGATTTTTTTTGATAAAATTTAAAGCCAACTATATTTCAGCTTCTATACCGACAATTCGCTTGCCAACCTAAGCAAAATGTGTCAAACGTATATCGAAAAATGCTTTGTATGCAGCGCACCCACTGGGACTAAAGTGGTCACGAATTGTAAAAACAAGCCCCACTGTGTGATGTCAACATCAGAAGTGGTGTCAAAAGGTGCTTGTGCATTACACAAAAATACCGATAGCAAATTGGAGCTCTTTCCTTAAAGATTATTTGTAAGTGATTCCCATGATGAAGTTTCACAGATCGTCAAGACTAACTATTCGAAAATAGTACCAAGATAGTTAGCGCCGACCAAATTTGTAAGTGATTCTCAATTTCTTATTTAGCCAGAGATCCAGATGCTGCATCTGAACGAGTATGGCTACTCATTGCAGCTACTGATTGCACTAAATTTCCTTGTTCATGTCAGCCATTCATATTATACAAGTACTCATGACTTTCGATTTGAGGTCTAACGGCGCAAATTTTCAGGGACGCGTAAATTCTCGCTACGTTGGCAGCAATTTGTGTGTACCATAAAATATTTCGGTCCTCACACCGGGGGTTTGGGGGTCTCTAGTCTACCTAGTCTACCGGCTGTCATCATCGTCGTGGCGCATAGTGTGGGGGCTCAGGGCTCAAAACCGATCTCCGATATGCTTCCCTCGTGTAACATTCCATTTAGGACGCAATACCCGGCGTGGCTCTATTCTTATTCAAAACTAGTCTAGTGTAATGGGTCTGTAGCTATTTTCTGTTCCTGTATCTAGATTTCGACTGCCGGTGGGAAATTTGCAATCATCTTCGAGGAATTTGGTCTTGGGATAAACAAATGACAAAATTTTCATGGTGAATTATGAAGTCTAAATCATGCATGAAAAGCCAATGTTCGGAATAATTATGTTCTGTAGGAGTTAAGCCATAATGTAATGTTCGGAACCTCCACACTGGTCAAACGGGAATGTTTTTTGATAGTTGGACGCAGTGGTCGACGTGCATAAACTAGACTAGAAAGAGGGTAAGCTGCAGGGAATTCTGTACCGCTGTCAAAATCCCTGTGCGTACCACCATTCCATCCTGTAGCAGAACCTTCTCCACAATTTTCTTCATCCACATATAGCAGCACACTTCCAACGGGTTTCCTTTGTAACAAGTTACCTCCGACGCGAGAAAATGAAATACTCCGAGCCTGTAAGAACCTGCATTCAACAATAGTAAAGTATGGGATGAAGACACCAATTTCCAAGATCGCAGGTTTCTAGGATTACTGGCCTTGGCCTTGCGAGTAGCATATGTAGGACCCCCTGCTCTTCTAGTGTTCTATGGAGTACCACTATAGTGGAGACGAACAACCCTCGCTCGCTTCAAGCGCCCCAAGGAATTTAATGCTACCCGAAGCTACTTCGGTAGTAGTTGAATGTAGCAGAAGAAGATTACTATAAATACGTCTACCAATGAAAATAGAAAGGAGCGTAAAGGTGATGTTGGCTTGTTGACATGTGTAGAAACTGACCTATAGTTCAACATCTTTAAGTCAAGCAACAGAGCAGTCGTAAATCGGAGATATAGTCCATCTAATGGAAGATAATCTACAGGTTCTTGCTTTAGGCTGACAAACTGCATCCACCAGCTAATTTGAACTAGTCAACTTGGGTCGCCGAGATGCATCTCATACCTCACAAATTATATACATCAGATCTACGGTCTATGTCCTGCCGAAGTCGCGGGGCTACCGATTGCGGCTCCCGAAGGTGCATGAATTCGCAACTTGTGATAGCACACCAAATACAATAGGCAACTGTGCCGCAAGCTTCCATCATAGAATGATCTAATCAAGATCCAAGAGTCGAGATTCCTTTCGACTTTTTTCGATTTGAAACGAATGGAGGGTTTCTTGCTGAATCGGAAGCATTTGATGCAGACATTCAATTCCCAAGCGGGTGAGACATTAGGCATAGCGCGAGTCAATTAATACAATTTTGCCCTAAAGAGACATCTTTCCTTGCTGGTCGGATCCGAGAAGAAGCTTATATCCGATGAGCCACTGAATTATATGTAGTGACATCGAAATGTGGTCGATAGATCGTCAAGATCGTCAACAATGTGTCGTTGTGTTGTGACTCTCAATGCCGGCTAGTAGGCTCCATTATACAATTTAAGCCTCCGTTATGGAAAGATGAACTCAAAGTTCTTACACTAATCGTTGCTCTTAAAGCAAAATAGTTCGAGATTCAGTCGAGGCAACTCCTATTTAAAGGTATTGTTGAGGTGACACGTAAGAAATTGTAATGGCTCTAGTAGATTGTAGTCCCAGTGAAAAACAAGCTGAATTGCTTTGGTCATTAGGCGGGCACTGCTTGAGTTTATCACTATACTACTTTAATCTAAAGTGGGATTGATCGTGACTCCAGTTGTATACTTGATATCTCCTGATCTTCAACATCTTCAGTCATCGAACAGCTTCAAATCATGAAATCTCATCTCAAAATAATGTTAAGCTATCCAACAGTTTGAAGGGACCTTCATTCACTCAATTGAGAAAAATGCCTCTATCTCGATGCTTAGGTGAAACTTGCGAGGTTGCCTTTGACACACTTCTCCTGCACTTGAATCAATACTTTGGGTTAACCAAAAACACATAACTCATTTGACGCCGAGTACTCTCCTCAATAGCTCTCGTACCATCTCCATCTCGATACGAACTAAACCGAAAGTCTCGAAAAAATTACTCTCGACAATGGCGGCAATTTTTTATTCAATCGAACTAATCTATCGATCATAACTTCATCATTGGAGTAAACCGATCACAAAACACAAAACAAATGACTTGCATGTTCTAGGCTCTCGCTGCGGTCATTGGCAATGCAACGTGATAGGTCGCTTGCTTCAATATTTGTGCATGGCTTCAGCGTAATCATTTTCCTATTCACTCTCCTGCCATTTCTTCGATTCAACCTCAATGCATGCAAAAGTATCTCTAAAGATTACCAATGTAAATATGATAGCTTAGTTCACTGCCATGACAGTATGGCACAGTGTATGGATGAATGTATTTTATCCGTCAATCGACCTTCCATGAACACTTGGGATTATACTGGAATCCCCGAAAAGTCTCGGAGGACCATAGTCCGCACAAGCTGCAGCTTCATAAGAAGTGCTCTTGGTTGGCAATATAATGATGGCAATTGAAAGTATTCATTAGCTGGACAAGACTCTATCGAGTCCACTTTCACCGAACACAGAGTTGTACATCAACAGAATGGAGAGACTAGTGATTGCGAAATGGCCTTGGCCTATCTGCATCATTGCAGCTCTCAATTCCCAATTCGTTTGCTACGTTACATCATCGTTTCTTTCTGTTGACAAGATCTCTATTCCCTTCAGGCTTCATGCTGCGAATATCCAATCAAGAAGACCAATTCTTCCGTCGGAGCCGCGAACTTCACAGGGTGGACTATATTTTTACTGTCTCAATACAGTCTAAAATCCCGTTGGAACCAAATCAGATGGTGTGCCTGCAATGCAAGCTATGTCTTCTTTAATGAAACCTTTCCCGCTTCAGAAATCGACACAATTTTATATATTCATTGATGATCAAAACAATTGCCATTATTCGGAGCATATCCCCTCGATATTCCTTTGCTAATCTAAAAAAATGAATATTAATACTCAACTATCACTCAAGGTTGTATTGTGAAGAAGTCAAAGGAATAAAGCTAATTTTTGATAGGTGCCATTATTCCTTGTGGATAAGAGACGTACATGATACGAATATCAGCACCAAGACCTTGATCGTTATTCACGTGAATAGTCTAAATACAAAAGGAGAATGGGTCATTGACAGCAAGACAGTAATAGCAACATCTGGCTTGCATGGGGCTGGATTTTGAAGTTGGAACTGCCATTGTGACTACCACAAGTACCAAGGACAATGCAATCATAACATCTATGAGTAAACAACCTATGTCCTTCGGGTATACTAAACGATCACAGACCTCTGCGCCTTCGCGACAGTGAGTAGAGTCGTACCAGATTCTAGCCACCAGTTGCATTTCAAATTAGCATGTATGACTTCGAAAGGACTTGAAGATCGTTGCATGGGTTCGGGCGTTGAAAATGGTTTAAGGGGCAATAGATGTTCATATCCACAAGAGGGCATATATATATAGCTGGAATATTGGACAGAATTTATGCACGATCAATTACCTACTAACATGGTAGAAGGTGTACGATGGAAGATGAAGAGTTGTTTACTCAAGTACTTGAGAAAAATTCAGGATATCCCAAGAGTATAGGCCTTTCTGTTGGTGCCATATGCTATCAACATCTATAACACTAATATCCTACCCATGGTTCTCACGCCGAAGCAGGCAATGAACCGGCTATCTGTGATGTACTTTGCACCAAAGAATTTTATCAATCACATCCGCATGTCAGAGTATTATTAATCTCTTCCCATGATCTCATGACCCTTCTTTGGGACCCCATATTTTGCAAGTGACTGAAGTGAATAACATCACATTTCGAGACACCAATCCCTACAACGCCGTCGATGCAGTTACTTTAAGCTGTCGTCATAACATCTATCAAGCGACGGTTCCATTGTTCCCATATCCCGGTAAACCATCCCATTTCAATAACTCCTTGAACGCCGAGAATATCGGGCACGGATCCATATTCCTAGCTCATGTCTTTCATCTCGGAAAACACCGACATGTTTTTTCAATTAGGCGACCAAAAGTATTACCTTCCCCTATCGCACTCATTGACTTCCCCGTTCAAAACGCATCGAAAAGATGTTTTTCATATTACCGGTGATTTACACATTGATCTCCAAGACATAATATGACAAACCATAGAAATAGAATATTCACCATCGTAGATTTCCTTTTCCAGTTCTACATCCTCAATCTGGTACGTTCTCCGATTGAGTGATATGTTGTAAGGAAGGGTGCTTTTCGAAACAGATCGGCTTCGTATTAATTTCCCTAATGGCCATATTATGTCTGCTTTTTGTGACATTTAAGTATCAATACAAATATCTATAAGTGACCAGGAGTTCCCCCTCACATAAATATAAAATTCTTTTCAAATTTAGCACCAGCGGAAGAGACGGGAGGCGCTTAGGACTCCTGTGTTGTTAGTGTAACACAAGATAGATAGGGGGAAGAGAGGGGTTTCGCTTAGGTGAATGAGGCGCACGAGGCGTGTGGAGAACCTTGTTTTGGGGAAGAATCAAGTTGGCTTGTATGGGGAGGATATTATGATATCAGATGTTTTGGTTGGTTCGTACATTTATCTTTTGGGAATGGGCATTGGGGAGATGTTGATGGGTGGATTTCGAATATGCCATGGTTGTGTAAACTGCCGGTTCTTAAAAATGTGTATGGTAGAGGAATTATGTGTAATCGGCTGTGTGCAACGATTATGTTTTAAAATTTGGCCCCATTCGGACTTTACTTCAATCTATACTCTATTAAAGATATGAGAATCATAACTACGGACGGGCTTTCGCCGGGATTCGAAGAGCACGCGTTGCGATAATTCGATGTGAGTATCTAATACTGGTGCTTCGGCTTGCTACCCTACTTGCTTGAGCCAGGGTATCAAGAGCAAGAGAGCAAATTGCTTATCACGCTTTCGCTCCCCTCTGAGGTTACGACTCAAGTACAAGGCAGGCTGTTTGCTCTTGGTACTTTGAGCGACTAGACAGCTGTAACATACTAACGAGTCAAACCTTTACCTCCAGAAAGGGAGAGTAGGTAGCCACTTGGGAAAGTATGATGATCAAACTTACTGACGCGAACCTGTTTGTGGATTATTCCATCCAAACTAAGGGATTAACTATCAAACTTGCCCTGCGTTGTCCGCAAGCTCGAGCATTAGATAAGTTCTACATTTGATGAACAAACAATCAGGGGATGTTTGAGTGACTAGGATCATCATACTAGGTCATAACTCCTTGATATATCCCTTCCATCTAATTGCTTACAATGCTCAGTTTTGTTTGTCAGACACACGGTCGGCACCAGTATAGGCCCTAGATATAACGTTGTAATCAACCACTCTATAGCACCAAGTTCCCAATGGAACACCTCCCACCAATCGATTAAACTAAGCTCCACTGCACAATGCCGAAAACAACAATCAAAAGGTACATTCATTGGGTCAGGAGGGTGACGAGAGACTGTTGTTATGGTACTACAAACAAATCTCAAAAGGTAGGTAGGGACCCGACTACTACCGACTTTTAATGGCATGGCATCTTCTTCTAATTAGAGAAAACTTTCCCACCATTTTTCAAAGGGTAAAGAGGTAAAAAGACACTTGAACGAACAACCACATCATAATACTTTTTTCCTTTTCTTCAATATGTAGGAGAAAAA